ACCAGAAGTTCTACTCCCAGAACTGCAACAAACAGCATCTTCAACATCTGGATCTTTGTGTTTTTCTTGGTAGTGTTACAGTAGAACTGGCAGTGTTGCTCTTTAGTGTCGACTGAGTCTGGACTATATTTTTTCTTTAATGCTTTTATTCATGACAGTCAGAGCCAGGCTGTTGGTTCACAGCAGCTGATGGTAATTCCAGCCAATGGCAGTAGGATTAACAAAGAGCTTGACTGTCTCCAGTTAACTGAACTTCATCTCATAGTCTCACACATCAGTGTCCTTTAAAAGACTTTTTTTTTTTAAGAATTTTTTTTTATCTCAAATTAGGGATATCCACATATTATAGCAGCAAAATAGACACATTAAAAACAAGACATTTCTTTTTCTTAGGAAAACAATGTAGACAAAGGAAACAGTAAACAACGTAGCATTTGGCAATAAAATGTTACAATAAGTAACCGAATACTTATAATAAAATATATTCCATCTAATGTACAAGTTGAATCAGGTAACAAAATTATTGTCAAGTTAGGGATTCAGGAATTTTTGTGGGCTTTTAAAGAGCAGTCCTCGGTGGTTTGTACGTTAAAACAAAATGTTACACATTGATAAAACATAGCAGACTATCACTGTGACTGACACCAGAAAATCATTTTAATCCCAAGGACTTATAAGAGTTGAAACAGTTTAGGCAGCTTATTTTCTACATTACCAACTGTGTCATGCATTGGATTTTCTAAGTGACCTTACCTTTAAACACAGAGAGGATAACATGGGAAATGAAATACAGTGTTGGAACCATCTGCCAAACCATGTTTTCTACAGACTTTGTACAGTAGTTTTTAATAAAAAGTTCTTCATACTGAGAAAATTAAACAGTTGTTGAAACACTGTTCATTAACCCGTGAAAGATTCTAATGTGATGCAACCTTTTGGTTTAACTTTAACTAAGTGAGTTGTTTTTCTAAGTAGTACAGTACTATGTGGTACTGAGGTGTACATTCACAGAGTTAACCATTAATGACCTTTGCCAGTGTTTGTCATTGTGTGTTGCTTGTTTGGAATATTGTTCGAAGTCAGTTGGTTGGTATAAAATTTACATTGGTGTCCTCTCTTCACCCTACTGGGCATCAGCCAAAGAAAAACAAAATGTGTGACCGTTAGAACGGAGTCAACACCAACCCATCTTTTAAATCAAAAAACGGCAGCGTGTCACGAGGGACAGCATAGTCGGATGTGTCGGGAAGTCCGGAGACCACACAGCAGCTCAGAGCGCTGCCGTGGTTCAACGGCTTGGGTGCCAAGAACCACTGGTCTTGGGTTCTATCGTAGTACTCGACTTGACTGGTGGTGCCGGTGCCGGTGTAGCCACCGACGACGTAGATGTGGTCATAGATGACTTCCAGGCCGAAGTTAAAGCGTGTGGTCAACATGGAGCCCGCGTAACTCCAAGTGTCGTTCAGAGGGTTGTAGACCTCGGTGGTCCTGAGACGGTGGGGACCATTGCACCCACCGACCTGTGGAAACATTGCAGTCTGAGTGATTACATGTGTGTAATAACTAAGTAACTTATATTTAGTAAAATATTTGCTACATATATTTGCTGGTATGATGAAACATGACTATGGAAAGATCATAAGTATGTGTGTATTTGTGTGTGCATGTGTGTGACTGTGTGCCCTACTCTGCAGTTTATGACCTCATCACTCAATGACGTCTGCCGTCACTGATTGTTTAGGTCTCGTAGATACCTGCCTTCGTGGATGGCTCAGTAAAGTTATGGGATAAAAAAGGACTAGAAAATAGTTCCATTACGTACTGCATAGATCTGCTCTGCATGTGCAATGACTCCAAGTCCACTACGTCTGTTGATCATTGGTGTTATTAGTGTCCATTGGTTGGTCTCTGGGGTGTAACTTTCAGCTGTTTGAAGGCATTCGTTGCCATCGAATCCACCACAGATGTAAACCTGCAGAGACAGAATCGTATTTGCAAAATTCTTTACTAACGTTGATAGATCTTCTAGAAATGTTAAGAATTTCTAGATTTTTTTTTCACATTCCAAACCTTATTATACAGTGTTGTGCAGCTTGCATCACTTCTTGCATGATGCATTGGAGCGATGCAATACCACTGGTTGGTGTCGGGATTATAACGCTCTGCGCTGACCAGTCGAGTGTGTCCGTCAAAGCCTCCCATGGCGTAGATGAGTCCGTTGAGCTCAGTTGCACTCACAAAGCTGCGGGTGTAGTACATCGGTGACACCTCATGCCATGTACGTGTGCTCAGATCCAGTCGACAGACGCTGTTGAAGTACTCCGCCCGGGCTGAGCCACCGAGACAGTAGAGGTACCCGTTGAGGAAGACGGTGCCATGATAGGCCCGAGGATACTCCAGACTGTAGGGTGCACTGGTCCAACGACCAGTACAGATGTCGTACGCAGAAATGTCATCAATTGGATTCTCACCACTCCAGCCTCCGATGGCTAACATGATAGCGTTAGGTAAACGAGGCCTTGCAACAAAGTTGCTTAAAAACGACCCACTGCTTCTAAAGTTCATAAACTCTATAATTTGGATGGCGTCAAGTGCCATTTGTAGGCACTGGGCATCTTTCTCCACCAACTGATTGGGGATGACACTGGTGTAGATGTAATCGATGCTTGTCAACGCCATTCGAAACTATGTGAAAAAAGAGGGATGTGATCAACAGGTCAAACAATAATGTCTGTAAAAGTTTAGAATTGTTTTTACCTTAGACAAAAGCAAAGCCATGTGTTCGTGCCTCTTTTCAGGTTTGTGTGACATCCAGCGAAGGATAGCCTCGAACACTGAGCCCTCGCTCCTGAGGTTGAGTTGGTCACTCCCTAGAATTTCAGCAAGCTCCTGCACAGAAAGATGCAGGAACTCCTCACCGGGATAAACCTCCTCAAAGTGATCAGTGATGAAGCGGTAGGCTTTGTTCCTCAGATCCGTGTAGAAGTAGAATTTTGCATACTGCCACATACCAATGCAGTTATTTCGTGAAATCTGCTGGCAAAGGAAGTCCGAGCAGGCCTTGGCCACAGAAATAACAAGTAGCATATCAGACGCCTCCATTAAATATTGTACATTGTCTTTGGAAACTGGGATACTGCCAGTGTATGCAAACTCGATGATGAGCTGCATTATTCCAGGGGACACACCGTAGATGTCAAAAACCTCTATGTCTTCCTGAATCTGGAATTGGAAAAGAGCTCTGTGGAGCGAGTGAGAGGAAAAGAGAGGGAGAGAGAGGACGTGGAATTAATACTTTAGTTGGTGAGTTTTCACTTTAACAATCACTGTAACCTCTGAGGGACACATTTCTATAGTAAGGAGGATTAGAGTGTCTGTTTGACTTCTGCTGAGGTCAGAGGACCAACTTACCCAAAGAATGGGCTGCAGTCACACATAATGATCTTGTGGACTTTGTACTCCACACCCTGGACTCTAATGACCGCGTCCCAGTATTTATTATGCAATCGAAGAACATTAAACACCGACCCCTTCCTAGGGATCATCTGATCTCTGTAAGGCATTTGGACTTCACATCCGGACCTCTCATGTTGCAATTCACAGAGGGCGCCACTGTGTTTTAAGCAAACCTTTCTGATTACATCATCAGGACACAGGAAGTTGTCATCACTTCCCTTCAGACTTCAAAGTCGATCCTTAGGTAGTAGATGCAATCCAGTGGGGTCAGTTGTACAATAATAGTCGTAATTTTTGAGTCATTTAAAATCTGGCTGCAAGTTTGTAAAAATATGAAGGTTGGGTTACTCTATTTGTTCACCCTGAATTGATTGTAGGAGTGCATTGGAGTGTGAGTTAGGTGAAGTGTATTGGAGTGTATTCAGCAGCAGGACATGGAGGAAGCTTTAGCCTGGTGGTGTCTCCTACACTCATTCTACATAGATGTCTGAATTGATAACTTGTCATTTGTTTGTTTTATTAAAAATGTAATCAGTTGATGAGAATATGTTGTGCTCTGGTAAATATGGAGTTTAAAAAACAAACAGCTGGTGCAGTTAAAAAAGGCTAAATCTATGATAATAAAGCTGCAAAAAACGAACAAGTTTGTTTTTGTTATCCATAAAAGTTATAGAATCAATAGAACAGATTAATTTGCACAAGCAGAAGGATTTTTTTTTTAGCTTGGACCAGTAACGGCACTAACGGCAGAGAACATCTAACGTAGATTTTTGCTGCCCTCTGTTGGTTTAAATTATGGACAACTTCATTAGGTTTATTCTATTTAAACCCTTCTTTTTATTTTCTTAGTATCAACCCCCCCCCCTCCCCCCTCCCTTCCCTCGATAGTGTTGTTAAAAGCTCAGTGAAGTAAAATTTTCTGGCATACAATGGATCTAGAGGCAGTATGTGACGTTACCATTAAGTACTGCAAAGGAATGTGTTTACTTCTAATTAAAGCCATTGTCGTTCTGTCTTATTGACCAAAACAGTTAATTATAATCATTAAAATAAGTCAGTATAATCATCTGAATCATTAAAGACACACAGAATTTATAGGATTTCAAATTTTATTGCCAGATAAATGTAAACATTTTTTAAAAAGACATCCTCTATGTTTTAGGACTTTTAGCTGTATATAAAAACAGATAAAGACTCAGTTGAAAAAGAAAATAATTAATTGAAAAAAAAAAACGCCAAAAACAGTGGCTGGAATTGACTTGAAAGAAAAACTGTGAATAATTAGTTGTTACAAAATGATGTGAAAAAATAGCCTGGAAAATAGGTAAAGGTCGTCGCAGTAATAGGTTATAATTACAAGTGAGCCATCATACTTAAAAAGGCAGAGCCTCCACTGTCAAAAATAGCTAAATTAGTTCTAAAATAATCAGGTCATGATGAGGAAATATAGTTAGTGTGCTTCCAAAATTCCATCAGACTGTTTTTGGACTAAAATAATTTTTACTTATTTTAATTCCAGCTGTATTTTATCAACACAAACCTTGAGGATCGGTCTCCTTCATCCTGGATTTCAGTTCTTCTGTCACATTTGGTGAAACAGAAACATCACTTAGGCCAGGACTGAGGAGAAAACAAACATCATATAGACAAATATATATTTGATTATAAATGTGATTTTAAGGTTTCACCTACATTTCAAACCTGATTCCAGATCATTGTCCTCGGTCTCAGCTGCTGTTGCCAAGCCATGAGATCATCTGACTCCTCACTGAAATAATACAAGGAAAATAAATGGATAAATTATATTGAATTCTTTCTTTCTAACTTTCAGTTTCAATATTTGTTGGTGTTTATGTTTGTTAAGCTCCATATGTCTGACACCAGATGACATTTTAGCAAGGAAATAGACAGGAGTTACCCACTGTGTGCTGAGCTGCAGCTGCAGCTGTTATATACTTATGTTCGTGATAAAGTCAGGGGCTTGTATTTATATCCCTATAAACCAAGCTTTTGTCGCAGGATTCACTAAAACCCAGTATGTGAGAGAGTTAAAGGAAACCTAGATACTTTTCCTCTCTGCAGCAAACGTTCAAAGAGAGAAACAAGAAGAGAGAAAGTGATGAAAAAACAGAGTAATGACTCTTTATTTCTCACCAAGTCCAATTATACAATTTATTTCACAAGAGTTAAACCAAACAAATGTGTGCACAAAACTGTAAAGATGTGACATGGATATATGGGACTAATCTAGTGGCGTATACTGTGACACAACTTGGCCCGTGGTTTAACAAACCCCCAGTGTTTCAGTCAGACTGCAGATTTATTTGACATCTCATTTATTCCCCTCACTCATTTCTACATGTTTTTATTTTTTTTCTTAAATTTCCAGTTTTCTAACTGAATGACTGGCCCTGCTCATAAAGCACGGGAGTCACAGCAGAAATGGATTTAATCTGAACTACAAGTTTCACCTCCAACTTGATTTTTTTTCTTTTTTTTTCTCCCACTTGTGCACATCGTACTGTCTTTCAAACACTGTTGGTTTGGCACAATCATCCCATTTGTACAAATCCTTAGTAAACAATTCTCTGCTGTTTTCTACATTGTTCATTGTTCATCTTTGTATCATTTTAATATTTTTCCCAAGTCGACTGTAATCTTCTGGTCATTGCAAAATATTTGCAAGAAATCTGTTTGAAAAGTTTGAACCTGTTGACAGGATCTGAAATATATCTATTGATTTTGATGGTTTCTTAACTCGTAGCTTACGTATATTATATATTTGTGTTTTTTCTTTACTATTAGGAAGCCTTGATGAAGACCTTCATCATCCCCTAATAATATCATTTCATGTAAAGAACAGCATGTACTGGCTGCACTGTATACTGAAGTTAGACTTGTTGATGACTGATTGTACTGCGTTTTGGCAGCAGTTGGCATATGTACTGTTGCAGTACTGCCTCTTTATCTCCCTCTTTCTTTTCCCTGATTTGGAAAAACCAAGAAAAACTGTGGAGTCTTACCAAGGAGATTTCTGGCTCAGGATCTCTGACATCTCCTTAGGTGTTTTATAGGAGTGGGCATCTTCATTGGTGCACCTCCTCTGGAGCTCATCTTCATCTCTTCTAGGCACATGGCATCAGAGCTTCAGTCTTCTGATTCCACCAGCCCCTCTTCCAAATCTAAATAGGGCAGGGAGTCACGGGGGACAGCATAGTCAGACATGTCAGGGAGTCCAAAGACCACACAGCAGCTCAGAGCACTGCCGTGGTTCAGTGCCTCCGAGGCTAAAAACCACTGATCTTTTGCTCTATCATAGTACTCAACTTGACTGGTTGTGCCAGTGCCGGTGAAACCACCAACCACGTAGATGTGATCGTAAATCACTTCCAGGCCGAAATTACTGCGAGTGGTCAACATGGCGCCGACGTAGCTCCAGGTGTCGTTCAGAGGGTTGTAGACCTCGGTGGTCCTGAGACGGTGTGGGCCATTACACCCACCAACCTGTGGAAGGAAAATAAACATATTACTGTTGCATCAACAACAACAGGCTAGATTAGCCAAGATACGATCTTGGCTCAGCAGTGAGTTTGGTCAGCTGTGATTGTGATCTTGGAAAATGACTTTGCAACGTTACAATTGATAGTGGTTGTTCCATTACGTACTGCATAGATCTGCTCTGCATGCGCAATGACTCCAAGTCCACTACGTCTGTTGCTCATGGGAGCAATTAGTGTCCATTGGTTGGTATCGGGGTTGTAACTTTCAGCCGTTTGTAGGCATTCATTACCATCGAAACCACCACAGATGTAAACCTGTGGCCAAAAGTGATGATGAGCAGTGAACAAAACTAAAGGTTTTATGTTTATATGTTATTTACTTTTCAAATGTCCACCTATTAACTTACCTTATTATACAATGTTGTGCAACTGGCATCACTCCTTGCTTGGTGCATCGGTGCAATACGGTTCCACTGGTTGGTGTCGGGATTATAACGCTCTGCGCTGACCAGTCGAGTGTGTCCGTCAAAGCCTCCCATGGCGTAGATGAGTCCGTTGAGCTCAGTTGCACTCACAAAGCTGCGGGTGTAGTACATCGGTGACACCTCATGCCATGTACGTGTGCTCAGATCCAGTCGACAGACGCTGTTGAAGTACTCCGCCCGGGCTGAGCCACCGAGACAGTAGAGGTACCCGTTGAGGAAGACGGTGCCATGATAGGCCCGAGGATACTCCAGACTGTAGGGTGCATTGATCCAGCGATCGGTACAGATGTCGTACGCAGAAATGTCATCGAGTGGATTCTCACTGCTCCAGCCCCCTATTGCCAGCAGGGTGGCATTTGGTAGACGAGGCCGTGCAACAAAGTTGCATAAAAATGTCACAGTAGGTCTAAGGTTAATGTACTCAATGGTCCGGGTGGCATTTAGGGCCAGTTGTTGGCATTCTGGATTGTTCTTCACCAGCTCATGAGGACTGACATTTGTGTTGATGTACTCTATGCTGGTCAAGGCCATTCGGAACTACACAAGGACAAGAGGGCAGGTTGTGTTAATATTGAGAGCCATGATAGTTTTGTTAACATGCTGTCTCTGAATAATCTGCAATACCAATGCTACCTTTGACAACAGCACAGCTATGTGCGTGTGCCGCTCTTCGGGTTTGTGCGTGATCCAGCGAAGGATAGCCTCAAACACCGTGGACTCCCACCTCACAGTGAGCTCATCGCTATCCAGGATTTCGGCGAGCTCTTGCACAGAAAGGTGAAGAAACTCCTCACCAACGTGGACCTCCTCAAAGTGATCAGTGATGAAGCGGTAGGCTTTGTTCCTCAGATCCGTGTAGAAGTAGAATTTTGCATACTGCCACATACCGATGCAGTTATTCTGGGATACCTGCTCACAAAGGAAGTCTGAGCATGCCTGTGCCACAGAGATCACCAGGAGCATATCAGACGCCTGCATCAAATCTAGCACGTTGTCCTTTGCAACTGGGATACTGCTGGTGTATGCAAACTCTATGATGAGCTGCATTATTTCAGGAGACACGCCGTAGATGTCAAAAACCTTAATGTCTTCAGTGGGCTGGAACTGAAAAAGAGCTCTGTGAACAAGAGAGGATTATATTAGTATAATAATGATGGATGGAGGCTACAGTAAAAACAACTGGTCACAAAATACAAAACAAATCTTTTGTCTTTGGCCATTAACAAAAGTGTTTCTAATTGTCCACCTACTGCTTTTGTTAGCTATCACAATGATCAGTAAATGTACTAAATAACACTATTTAGTATTTTAACTCCGTATATACTGCATGTGTCACAAAGTATTTTGCGGCATGGAACTTACCCGAAGTAAGGGCTGCAGTCACACATGATGATCTTGTGGACTTTATACTCGACACCCTCCACCCTAATGACTGCATCCCAATATTTACTCTGAAGTCGGAGCACGTTGAACACCGAGCCCTTTTTTGGGATAACTTGGTCTCTGTAAGTCATTTGGACTTCACATTTGGACCTCTTATGGTGCAATTCACAGGGTGAAATGCTGTTTGTGAAGTGAACCGTTATTATTACATCATCATTAAAAAAAAAAAAGAGAGAGCGTCTTTTCCTGACAAACTTCAAAGTCAGTATAACATCAAAGGCATTGAACTTGTTCTGTTGTTTGATTTGGGATGTCAGTGGTGATGGTACTCAGTGTTGCCAGATAATTATCCAAGAATGTCTTTCTATTTTCTTCTGCCTTTGTTTTTCCTCTCTTTTTTTTTGCATCTAACCCGTGTCATTACCAGAAAAGTCATCCCTAATATGTTCTTTAAATGAACTACAGTAGATAATTGTACTGTTTTGTATTTGTGTGTCCGTTGTTCATCTGGAATTTTGTAGGAATTGCATTGTTTGTTTTTTTTTGTGTCTTTTTGTACTCACGGCGGTTAATGTTGTTAACATGAGGGTGCGGGGACTCGACTGTAGTCTAATCTACCAAAGATTGTGCTGTGAAAAAATGACCATGTGAAAGGGAACCGACTTGATTGTTGAAACCAGAACACACAGAAGTTGAGATGTACGACTCCATAGCTTCAATTAGTTTTATTTTTATCTTTGCTTAGTTTAGTGCTCAGTCCAGATATAAAATATTAAAATACACACAGGCTTTGATTTCTCGCAGATACAGTTTTTTTTTAAATCCCAGAAAAGTATGTAAACAACATGCAAAGTACAAAATAATGCAGGCATAGCTCCAAGCTGTCTCTAATGCTCTTTGTTGCCTGTAGCTGCAGTAAAAGTGAAGTGAAAATGTCTGGAAGTGTTGATTGGTCAGAGCACACTGGTTGTCTGCTCCCTGTCAGGCTTCGTTTATTTTATTGGGAATGAGCCAGTGCTCCGGCGCCCTGACCAAACCCAAATCCTTTGGGACCAAAGCACTTGGCGTAGCAACCTGGAAATAAGAGGGAAAAGATAAAATAATGGCAGTTTACTGTTTCAGTCACTGCAAAATAGATCATTGGCTGTCCCCTCCCTGCACTGGAAGATTGATGCCTATCAAGGGTAAACCCCATTATTCAGGATGAATTCCACGCTCTCTTTATTTTTTATGTTTCACTTTCAGGCAGGTGCTGAAAGGTTGAACGGTCATAAGGACTGTTACCCTGATGCTGTTCCAACTCTTAACAGTAATTTTTTTTTGTTATGTTTGCTTGCGTGTGTACAGTGATATAAAGTGACATATTACCTAACAACAGACTGTTTGTTCAATTATTGTAGTTAGCTATGAGTCTTTTTAAGTCTTTTAAAAATTCTGAAAATGAATAACTCCAGTTCCTCAGTTGTCCACTAGTCTACTTAGCTAACTTATTCACACAGACCTTTACAGAAAATCTCTCCATCTCTGTCGGCCAGCGTTGTGGACTCCAGTCCTTTTCCACACTTGGCACAGCGGAAACATCCCTTGTGCCAGGACTGAGGAGAAGAGGAATGACATTTGGTCAAATAAATGCAGACAGCTCATTTTAAGTACATTTTTGGTTCTCAGTGTAGAAGAGAAACTCTGGTTGGTCTTACGTTGCCTCCTCCAATAACCTTTTCTGCAGCGTACACTGTTTTACCACATCGAGGACACTCGTCAGAACCTCCTAATTTCTTGGCAAACTTGGAGGTGTTGGGATTATTTGTTGGCTGATGAGGAGCTTGTCTGTAGAAGAAAAATGGAACACAGTTTAGATCAGGGGTGTCAAACTCATTTTCACCACGGGGCCACATCAGCGACACAGTTCCTCTGTATGGGCCGGTTGTAAATGGAAGACTGTATAGATGTCACTACTCCATAACGTACTAATAAATTAGTTTCTGAAATTGATTATTATTTATTCAAGCTACAGATATTGTTTATTGTTTTGTTATAAAAAAAGTAACTTCTGCATGGACTTTATAAAATGCTTTTTAAGTTCTCGTGGACCTTACAAAGACGGGCCCCCGAGCCTTGAGTTTGACACATGTGGTGTAGATCTAATGTTTTTAAGTCCACTCAGGTTGGGAAACAAATGATCTGGACCTATGGAAAGTTCTTTTTGCCACTCATAGCTGCTGAGTCAGGAATTGGCCCCACAACCCTCCAGGTTTAAGGCAACTGCCCTACCTAATGGGCTACATGTTTGTACTACATTATGTGAAGTTTCCTCACACTTCTGGTTTGATCCCCAGTCCTTCTCCTGTGTCCATACTCAGGGTGCCGGCTCCCATTCCGAAGCCGTAGCCTTTAGGCCCATATTTCTTGCCATAGCATGACTTGCAGTAGATCTCATTCACGTGGACGGCCACCGTTGTGCTGTCTAAGTTCTTCTTACAGACCACTATAGACAAAGAAGAGGGAGAAAAATGGAGAAACTCCACAGTTAATACTCCCACTCCCTCTGTTTTAATAAGACTGCAGCAGCAAAGCAAACAAACTTGACCCTATAAAGCAGTCCTTGGCAGCTGTGCGCAAATATTTCACTGTCAGTTCACCACAAACTACGCATGACATTTGAAGGAGGGAAATGAGCAACACCCCTATGTGCTGTGCTGCCTCTGATAAATGTGCAAAACAGGAAGGGAGGGACGTGGTCTACCTTCCTCAGCCTTATTAGGAAAACCCAGCTTTTGTCACTTTTGCATCATACCCAAATAAGGAGTGAGACGGAGTGAAAATCC